CCAGGGTGCTTGATCTTCCCTCCTCGCCTCTCGTGGCTCTTGGATGTGCAGACCCAGTGTGCCTCAGGTTCCACACTCTCACCAGCTCGCCTCTCAGTGCTGGGAGCAGGACCCCCACTGGGCTGCACCGCCCTCCTGCTCACTGCAGTGTTGGGAAGCCTGGCCTGAGTGTCTTTCTGGGTCAGGGCCGCAGTGCTGCTCCTGCCCTCCCTGCTAGCGCTACCGCCCCCAGTCGCTCCTTCCATGCACGCCTTTGGTCTGGCTTGGTTTTATGTGAGTCAGTCCACAGGCCAGCTGTCTCTCTGCTGGAGTCGGGCCAGAGCGCGTGCATACGCATCCCAGCACTGCTCACTTTCTCGCCACAGGCTTTGATTGGAACCTGGTGTTCAAGTGGGATTACATGACACCGGAGCAGAGAAGGTCCCGGCAGGGGAACCCAGTTGCCCCCATAAAGTAAGTGCAGAGTATCCTGCAGGCCAGAGCCCAGCCCCTGCAGGCCGCCCTGCGCCTCCTCCCCTCCCCACAGCTCCCTCCCACGGGTACTCGTGAGGCCACTCCACGAGTCCTGGGCTGCCTGTCTGCAGCATGGCGCTGCCATGAGCAGAGTGGGAGCCTTAGGCCATGGCTCCGTGTCACTCTGAACCTTACGACAACTCTGTAAGGAGAGCAGGGCCCAGAAGGGCCAAGGACCTCAACCAGTCAGCGAGTGTCCACCAGCAATCTGTCCCTCGCAGGGAGGCTCGGCACAGCCTGGGCAGGGGCTGGGGAGGCATCTGGAGGCAGCGGTGGGACATGAGATCAGGAGGACCGTACTGCTTGAAGGCCAGTGTGTGGCCAGGGAGCCTAGGCAGGGTGTGACAGGGGTGCCGGCAGCTCACCTTGACCTTGGCCTCTCCACCTCTGCAGGACCCCCATGATTGCTGGTGGGCTGTTTGTGATGGACAAGCTCTACTTTGAAGAGCTGGGGAAGTATGACATGATGATGGACGTGTGGGGCGGAGAGAACCTGGGTATGTATGAGACTTATGGGGCGATGCGCTTGCCAAGGCAGGGGCCTCCTTGATGGTTCAGCCCCACCAGCCCTGAGCCCACCTCGTACCCCCCACCCCCGACTGCTCAGGGTGCTGGGGAAGACATCCTGTTAGAGCTGAGGCCAGAATTCAGGGGTCCTTGAATGGAAGCATAGGCTCCATTTGCTGTTTGGCCGGGGGTTTGGAAGCCACCTTCCAAAAGGGGAAGCAGCCCCTCCCTACCCTGCGGGTGGGCCCCCTGCACTGTCCTGGAAGCGGGGCCCTCTGATCCCTCTGAGAGCCAGGCCGTGGTCTGGCTGCTCTGAGGGTGTTGTGAGCGGCCGTGGGAGCTGTTGGTACTTGGGCAGGGCAGCCAGGCCCTGGGTGCTGGTTGCCGTGGTCACCAGCAAGACTGCGCATGCTCACCTGGGCTTTGGTGCTCTCCTCGCTGGCCTCACCCAGCCCGTCCTCAGGGCTGCTGCATGTCAGGTCCCGCTGGTGCTTGGACAGGTATGCCCAGGAGGACAGCCAGGGACTGGCACTGCTCTGCTGAGGGTTTTACTCTGACAGATTTAGGTGGTTTTTGTTAGTTTGAAAGCCCAGTCTCGCTTATCTTTTCCCATCACGTTAATGTGTCATTGGTGAAAACGCCTCATCTCTGAGGACCTTTTGTGCTTTAATGTTGAAAGCTGCTCTTTCTCAGCCTGTGCTGCACGGAGAGGGACGGAAGGGCCTCAAGTTGGTCTCCATTCCTGGAATTTTAAGGATACCTTGACCTTAGATGGGGCTCCGGTAGAGTCTTGGGGCCGAAGGCTCCAGTCACTGACCTCTGAAGAGGATCCAGAGTCTCGCTTGCTCCCCAGGCTCCCGTGGCAGGGCCCCCGATGGAGCAGTGTGGGGCTCAGGTGGCTCCTTCTGGGCATGTACGGGTGGCACACATGGTGATGGGTGCCAGCCGGGCTCCTATCTGAGGAGGCTGAAACTTAGTCTTCGTCCCTGATGCCAATCCATTAACGAGAACGTGGTTTTGAGAAAAAAGGAAAAGAAGGTTCATTGCTTTGCTAGCAAAGGATAAACACAGGGGACTCCTGTCCCAGAGGCTGTGATTCTGCCCATTGGCAGGAATAGGGGTTTTCATAGAGGTGACTCAGAGAAAATGAGATTAGGGAGAAGGTTAGGGAAAAGAAAAGAAGCCTTTTGTCTCGTTGCACCTTTGAAATCAAGATGGGTCACCAACAACTCTATTGGAGCCAACTGCAAAAATTTGGCCAGGGTTCTTCCTCTTGCCACCTGTATTCAAACCGGCACGGTGTGATCCAGAAACACGGCCTCAACTTGTGCCAGCAGTGTGTCTGTCAGTAGGCAGAGAAAATGGGCTTCATTAGGTTGGACTAAGTGATTTTCCCCGAGTGGATTGCCCAAGACAGCCACCCAATGGCAGAGAACATGCTAGTGCTTCGTACATAAAATAAACTTCTAAAAAACTTAAAAATAAATAAATAAATAAATAAATAAATAAATAAAGATTAGAAAAAGAAAAAACATGTGCATTTCAAAGCCACAAGGGATATAGAGCGTAGGGTGAACCCTCAATTAGGAGCAGGTGTGCTGTCACTGTCACCAGCTTTCACCTTGTATCTGGGTAGGGCCCTGGGGTCAGCTAGGTCCCCAAGTCCTGGGATTCTTCCCCTCCCTGGCTGGCTCTGCAGGACCCTTGGCCACAAGCTGAGCTGCACAGTGTCTGCGGAGAGACTGCCCTGAGCGTGGCTCCGACTTCTTATTCTGGGCACTGAGTACCTTGCCCACAGTCATCACCCAGTGGCCTTTGTGGGTGGGGGGAAGTGGGGTGCAGATGTGCCCAAGGAGAGTCCAGCCCCCATGGTCCTGGTCAGCGGTGAGTCCTTATGTAGTCAGAACTCCCGCTAAGGAAGAGGATAGGGGCCTTGAGCCCCGACAAGCTGAGGCCTCGTCCTGAAGGAAGGACTCTTCTAGGCCCTCCAGGGCCCAGGGGCAGACACCAAGGGCCTCGCCCTCCAGGTGGGAGGCAGCTGCAGGGTTCAGCCATAACCTGCCCCAGGCCTCCCTGCAACCCTCCCAGCTCAGCACACCCCAGGCAAAAGCTTAAGTTCAGATCTCCAGTGAAGCAAAGGGATATTTAGATTTTACCTCCTGAAATTCTGGGCACTTCCTGCTCGGGTCTGTGGGACACTTGAAGGGTAGGAGAGCTTTCGCTGAGGTGGCTGGGGTGGGGTCAGCCCAGGGCCTGGCATGGCCAGTATTTCTCCACTGAGTCCCATCCCAGCCCTGATAACCCAGGGACAATTATCAGGGTCCCACTCTGCTGGTGAGTGACCATCTTCCCACGACCTGGCTTTACCAGGCAGTCTGTGCTGCTACATGGTGGGGTGCTCAGCTGGAGGGCTCCAGCAGGTAGCAGTGCTGGCTTGGGTCACCTGCCCGCATTCTCAGGGCCCTTACGCAGCCTCTCCAGGACTCTCTGAAAGGGTATCCTGACCTTTCAGAATGGTTCATCTGAATTTCTATCCAACCTGGGTCCCTTGCTTTTGGGGTGCTGGTTAGAAGAGGTGCCTGGCTGATGTCCCCTGGTACAGAAGACTGTGCTGAGCAGTTGTGTTCCACAGCCCTGCAGGATGAGCTCCCAGGACCATGTAGTGCCTGGCCCTGCCGTCTGACTCTCAGGCTGACTCTCTGGATGTGGCCTTCATGGGGATCATCCTGCCTGGGCAGTGGGTACTGTGATGTGCCATGGGTCTCTCCACTGTCCTCAGCCACTGCCGTGGGTGGTCTGAGAGGCCAGTATAGTTCGAGGCCTGAGAACACGGTGTTTGTGGTTTGGAGAAGGGTCTCTTTGTGGGGCCCAGCTGCATGAAGAGCCCGTGGCACGCACGGTCACCAGCCAAGAACCACCCTCGTCTCCAGATTTTTAGTCCAAATCTGAGCTGTTCCCCACAAGTGTGCCCTCTTGAGGGCCCTGCAGAGTCTGACTGTCCAGGGTGTGTTATATGTCTCCACTTGGAATGTTCTGGACTGTCCTAAAGGAAGGCGCTGCTCCTTGGGGCTCCTTCAGCGGGTAGAACAGGCTGGGGATGGACGTGGGCAACTGTGCACCTGGGGTGTCTCTGTTGGTCACCGAGTCTCATTCCCACCCAGAGATCTCCTTCCGCGTGTGGCAGTGTGGCGGCAGCCTGGAGATCATCCCCTGCAGTCGCGTGGGACATGTGTTCCGGAAGCAGCACCCTTACACCTTCCCAGGCGGCAGTGGCACTGTCTTTGCCCGGTAAGTACTGGAAGATGGAGGCTGAGGGGGCCAGCATGCCACTGTCCACTGTGGAGCTGGGTGTAGCCCTGAGGGCCAGGGTCTTTAAGGTGGGCATGGCCCTGGGGCCCCTCTCAATGGGCTTCCTGCAGCTCCAGGTTCTTGGCTTCCTGTGACGCACAACACTGACATGCGAGCGCTTACTGTCTGAGTGCGCTAAACCATGCAGGGCTGGGTCACAGTGGCCTCCCTGGACCTGATGCCGGGAAGACTTGGGCATGGTAGGTTCCAGATAAACGTCTGAGCAGCTGGATGAATGGACAAAATTGGTGCAGTTGCGGTGAGGCTCATCCCGTGGGCTCCCCAGATGTCATGGAGTAGACTGAGAGGGCAGCTTTGCTTTCAGGAATTGAATGACTTAGTCTCTTAAGAACTCAAGGGAGCTGAGCACCCTATAGAGCCACTAGGGCAGAAAGGGTCAGGGCATCGTGAATCTGATCCTGTCAGGCCCACTGGGGGTGCGCATTGCGTTGCAGGTGCCTGTGCAGAGGGGAGGTGGGCAGCACCATCTCCTCACCTGCGAGCTCTGCCACACTCACACCTGCTGTGTGGGCCTCGGCCGTCTCCCCTCTGCCATGCCCCTTCTCCTTCCCCACACACCTTGTGACCCCTCCAGCTCCTGCCCACAGGCGAGGTGCCCCCAGGGCCTCCTGGCATCTCCCATGCTCTGCCCTCTGCGCACCTTCTCCCTGCCTTCTCAGTCCTGGTGATCTCCTGGTATGGAGCAGGCCAGGTGGGTGCCTTCTCGTCCTGTGTCCCTCAGTGGTGTTGCTGGCTCCTGATGGTGGCTTGTTCTCCCTGCACTCAGGGAAGACAGACGCAGGTAGTTTAAGTGGCAACGTTGCCTCCCTGCTGAGCAGGACGCTGTCCAAGGTACCTAGTGAGAGTTAGCTGCCACTGTAGCTGGAGCTCGAGGAAGAGTCCAAGATGTGGGGGCTGAGAGGGTGCCATGCCACCCCTGGGAGTGAACATGCTGCCAGGCTGCACTCAAGTGGGCTTTGTATACCACACAGCCAAGAGCAGCTTGTCCCAGGACCTTCTCTGCCACGAAGCACGGCTCACTCCATGGTGGAGTCCCGCCTGCAGCTTCCCCTTCCTGAGAACCTGTGAGCCCAAGCACGGGCCAGCCGGGACCCCAACATGGCCCACACTGCATCTCCACGTGACGGTCTCTCTGTCAGGCCTGTGGAGGCGGTGACACTGACTGCTGCTCCTGCCCACCTTTGCTTTCCCCAGAGCTGTGGAGGCGGGAACCCCTCCTGGTCCCTGGCCCTGCCTTCTTTGTAGGACATGTGGGATGCATGAGGGTCATGCTGGTCTGTCCTTGGTACATCACAGGCCCTTCTTTAAAAATAGATGCCTCCTCTGCTCCCACGGTGGCCTCTGCTCTGGAAGACCTGTGCCCTCTGTAAGACCAGGGGGAGCTCCATGGGCCTGGCCGGCCAGAGCTGCCCCACACCCAGGGAGCTCACCCAGCCACATGCCTGGCAGAGGGGCACAGCGTTGTGGTGCCAATAGAAGCACCCTCAGGAAAGTCGATTTTGTTTCTAGCAACACCCGCCGGGCGGCCGAGGTCTGGATGGACGAGTACAAGAACTTCTACTATGCAGCAGTGCCTTCTGCCAGGAACGTCCCCTATGGCAAGTGAGTGTTCCTCACCTCCTGTGTGGCTGGGGGTCCTAAGGGATACCTGTCCACAGGAGCCTTTGCTCAGGGCCTACAGGCCTGGTGGAGGCAGGTGGGGCTGCACCCAGAGCCTAGACAGCCCGGCTCGCTGGCAGGTGTCTGTTCTATGCAGATAGCTATCCTCCTGCGGTGTGTGAAGGGGTCTGTTTCTCTCTCCTCCAGTATCCAGAGCAGACTGGAGCTCAGGAACAAACTGAACTGCAGACCCTTCAAGTGGTACCTCGAAAACGTCTACCCAGAGCTGAGGTGAGTGCCCAGGGCCTGTGTTTCTCTGTGAGGTCTCGGTAGCAAAGATAGTCAGGAAGGCTGCAGGAGGTGACAGTCACACTGAGCAAGAGACCAGAGGCAGGGATGTCCTCTGTGCTCAAGCTGCCTGCTGCAGCCTCACGTCTCCTGCGGAGTTATCCCCACTCTGCGTAGACCTGGAGCAGTCCCAAGGTGTCACCTCATTCTGACATGCGGCCTATGGGCAGCAGACGGGTCAGTGGTGAGAGGGCCCTGTCTCTTCAGAGCAGCAGCTGGGGCTGCACACAGGGCTATTGCTCCCTTCCCATCGCAGCTTCTCCTGCCCTCAGCCCTGTAGGCTGGAGAGGAGAGGTGAAGCCAGCCAGCAAGGGATGGCACCACAGTGACTCAGACAGCGGCCTGCCTCACTCCTGGGAACAGCAGTCCTGTGCCCTGCGTCCTGTCGGGTGGCCAGTGAAGGCAGAGTACTCTTCTGAGCTTCATTTTCACCTCTGGCCTCTGTCTGTGCTGAGCTCCAGAAACTCTTCAGGTTCCGGGAGCCACTGCACTTGAGATGGAAGGGTTTGTCAGGCCATGGCAGTGTGGACCTTCCTATCTTCCTTATTCCCAAACAGCAGCTCACAGACCCCGGCACAGGGACGAGGAGCACTGGCTCCACTTTTTGTGGCTGGGACGGCTTCTCCAGAGTCTCCTGCTACAGGTGACTCTCGGGAGCTTTTGCTCTGCATTTAGGTGGCACTGGAGTTGGCAGGTGGAGAAGGGGAGAGGACCCAGTGTCATCCATGGATGCCGCTACCAAGGACCATCTGGCTGCTCACAGGCTGTGCCAGCAGGGCCCCAGTCCTTATCTCTCACCACCACAGGGTTTCACAGCAGGGACTTTGCCCAAGTGGCACGTGCTGCCCTTGTTGTCCTGGTGGCCTATGATGTGTGGGTGACGATGCCATGAGGTGACACGAGAAATGCTGTTTTTTGCTAGGGTTACTTGTGGCTGGGGGACATGGGCCCTGTGTGCCCTGCAGATCTGGTTCAGGCGTTGGGTGCCTTACCAGCTGGTGGGCCTGGAGGCACCGACTACCTGTTGTGACTTGTCTGTGATGTTGCCGCCATGCCCTGCTTCCCGTGGCAGGTGCTGGGCCCAGGCCAGTGGCAGATCTCCATCACATTGCAGTGGAAACCCATCTAGTTGGTTCTGAATGGGATATGAGCTGAGGCTTGGAGAGCATGGTCTTCACTGACAGCCTCGCAGCCAACACAGCCATGCAGTGGGGCTGACATCCAGTCTCATTCCAGAGCTAGTGGCCCTTGCCTATGGGGCCCTCCCACACTGTGGGGGTTGACCACTGGCAGATCCCAGGTCCCCTGCTAGGCTCAGGTCCCAGCCTCTGGAAGGTCCAACCAGCCAACTTGTTTATGTGGCATCCACAGGCCAACTTCAGTGTGGGGATGTTTCCTTCCCAGAAGGACTTCCAGTACAGAGGAAAAGGGGATATTGCTCCCACTCACCGCCTGATGGCGCTGGAGCCTAGAGCAAAGATTGGCCATGGGAATGCGGACCAGCCTAGTGGCCTCCCTCTTGTACCTGCTGCTGTGCTGAGGTCACTGGTGGTCCTAAAGGACTGATCAGCTTCTCATGTTGCATTTCAGGGTCCCAGACCACCAGGACATAGCTTTTGGGGCTTTGCAGCAGGGAACCAACTGCCTTGACACTTTGGGACATTTTGCTGATGGCGTCGTTGGAATTTATGAGTGTCACAATGCTGGGGGAAATCAGGTAGGTGTGTGGGTGAGCTGGACTGTGCCAGCCTGGAAGGAACGGGCTGGGGTCCTGGGTTAGCAGACCTGGTTGCAACCTTCCCTATGTGGACACTACTGTTCCTACAGGGCACAGCCTCTGTGGCAGCCAGATCAGGGTCAGGTGGCTGTGCAGGCCTTGGTGGACCTCCAGGTGCCTAACAGGTATGCTGCCAGCCATTAGGTGGCTATAGCATAAAATGCAAAATACAAACCATTGCTGCTTTGGTGTGAGCCTGTGCGCCTTTCCCCTAGCGACATAACACCCACCACTGTGAGAGAAACGTGCAAAGGCTGCTGGGTCCAGCACGTGTGCAGTTGGAGCAGTGCCGGGCGCCCTTAACTCCTCAAACAGCTGCCTGACTCTGTGGGCCCAAGAGCTAAGGAGGGCAGTTAGTTCACTTCACACGTCATGGACGTGTCAATCTCAGGCCCTCGTTAGATGAAACACTCTTGAGGGCGGGTGGTGTTTCATGTGTCCCACTTGGAATGCAGTCTCAGAGGCTGCTTGGCATGGCCTGGACATCTTGAATAAGATGGGCGTAGCACAGGGTCTCTCCTGGCCATTGCAGTCCCCATCAATTAGGGCAGGCGTTGGAGCTGGCCCAGCCTCTCCCTTGCACACTCAGGCCATTCCCAGGCCTCTGGACCCTGAGGATGCTCCAGGACAAGGCTCCCCACTCCAGGCTTTGGGCGTGGCTGCATCTCTCAGTTTCAGGTGTCTATCTCTGTGGCAGGTGGTTCCCATTTGTACTCTTGTCTCAGGTTCCTCTAGTATTGAGAGTTCCTGGAAGGAGGCAGAGGGGAGAGGGGCGGAGGTGGAGGAGGAGAAGAGCAGCTGTACTCTCTGTGGGCAGGGCGGAGGAAGGGGCCGCGCTCACCATGGGCCGTGTCCTGGCGGCTCTGCAGCCCTGGTGCTGATGTAGATTGGCTCTTGCTGTGGCCTCCAGGCTGGGGCCACCTGTGGAATCTGCTGTGAGTGGCAAAGCTGGGCCCCAGCATGGGTTGGCCGCTGTCCTTCTGGTTCAAGCCTGGCGGCCCTGTCCCCCACTGCAGCCCCGTGTTGATGGGGGATGGCAGCAGCACAGGTGCTTATGTTTCCATGTGCACGTTAGGGCCCTGAGGAGGCCCACACGGCCACGCTGGGAGCCAGGGCAGTCCAAGGCAGAGAGGCCCAGTAGTCCCTCAGACCTCGCCAGCCTGGCTCAGGGCAGCTGAGGCTCCCCTGTGGCCTGTGGCCTGCACGGCTATGCCTGAGGCTGAGTTGCCCTCAGCTAAAAAGCACCGAGGGCCAATCCTTGCATCCCGGAGGCCCTCTGGGAGGTGCTTCCTGACCGGGCTTTCCAGGCAGCAGGCATCGAGGCCTTCCTGGCCCTGTGTTGGCCGTCACTACCCTCCCGTGCTCTGAGTCCAGTCCCAGCCTCCCAGACCTGTACAACATGGCTCCCTGGGCAGCAACATCCCCTTCTCCCAGGCCCTCACCAACGCATGGCCGTCACCAGATCTTATTATAACTGCTCCTCCTCAGTCCCAAAGGCGATGGCTTGGGCAGTATACTGCATTCGCTGTGGCCAGGTGTGGAGCCCTCTGCTAACAGGCTTGGTGATGCCTGTCCATGGTCAGAGCACCTGGAGCCTGAGGCTCCTGGCTGGTAGTAAACAGGTGGCAAGGTAGAAGGGCCTGCAGCGGACACAGGCTGGGGCGGCACCACGAGGACCTGCCATGGATGTGCGGGGTTTAGCAACAAGACACCGCACACCCGACCCCACCTTGGGACTGTCTGCTGCAGAGGCCACCTGCCTGTCAACATTGCCGTGGGGGTCAGGTCTGCACTGGCACCTTGGCCGCCGCACGTGGATGTAGCTCATGCGTATGAAGTTTGTGTGGCCTTACTGAACTGAAATCTAGAGCGCAAATCTGGAGACACTGCCACTGCCCATGTGCCCCCTTGAAGACCCACCACCACGAGTCCTCTGAACTGATGGTAAAGTGCCACACAAGAGAGGAGGGGCACACGGGAGCTGAGGACCTCTTGGTGTGCTCCTCAGTGGCAGCGCAGGGAGCATGGCCTACACTCCCAGGTCACTGAAGGGCAGGACAGAGCTGCCCACACTGCTCATACCAGGTTGGTTTTGCTGGAACCGTTGTGATGTCGGGGAGGATGCAGGTTTTTTCACTGACCGGCTGCAAGCCCAAGGCCTCCAGGTGCCTGCTGGCAGGACAGTGTGAGCCCCAACAGGACCTAGTCATTCCCAAAGATTGGAGGTATAAGGGGCACCCACCATGAAGGCCTCCGGAGATGTCTGTGCAGACAGGAGGACTTCCCAGAGCCACGAGGGCCCTGTAGGAATTTTCTGCAGGACAACGTGGCAGGGATACCTTTGCAAACCTGCTTGACCTCGATCTTGTTTTTCATAGAATTCCTGACAGTAAGGTTGAGGAAACATCAATCAAAAGCAGACAGGATTGAGGCCCAGCGTGCAGGACACATGCCCTATCTCACACCATGCAGAGGCCCAGGTGTCCACTGTCCCTGGCTGCCCCGCACGCCCTCTCCAAGGGAGAGGAGACGGACACTGTTCCCACATGGTGGTTGGGCAGCAGGCGTGAGGCTCCGGCAGTCCTGGCCGTGCTCATGGACCGAAGAAGGACAAGCTATGCCGCAGCCCTTGACCCTCCTAACAGCATGCCTGCGCTTCATCCACCTTCCCACAAGGAGGCTGTCCTGGCACTGACAGAGCTCTGAGTCAGACGGGTGCAAGGGATGTGGCACTGTCACATGGGAGTGGAGGACTGTGAGGGAGGAACTTGTCGCAAGAGCCTGCTGGGCTCAGGGGAAGGGGAGAAGGGGCCAGGGCAGCGAGGGCGTCCCTACACACTCGGCCAGGAGCCTCACCGTTCAGTTCAGAAGGATCCCCTTGACAGGATTCCTACCATCAGAGACTTGGGAAGCCCACCTTGCCGCCCAGCATGGCCCTGCCTAGGGTGGCATGTCACTGCTCCTAGTGGTAGCTCGCCTGGCCGTCTTAGCCCTGACTTGCGTGGCAGTGTTCTGAAGCTCAGGCAAGGATATTTAAACATCTCAGGCTCAGTTTTCTTGTCTGTGAGAAGAATAGCAGCCCCCGAGGATTTTGGGCACAGAAGACACACCATAGAGCTGGGCACCTAGTGGCAGATCGGCCATGCATACATGCAGTACATGAACTGTCCTTTGGTGTCTAAGGACTCTAGGAGCTTGGGTGGATCAGGCAGCCTCTATCTTGAGGACACTCGTTCCTGCCTAAACTTGCAGGAACTCACACTTGCTTTTTCAGTGTTCAGTCCGGTGCCCCAGCCTGTCTTCAGACCAACCCTGTGTGGGCAGGACCATTGGCGAGCGCCTGCCAAGGGCCCAGGCCAAGGCCACAGGCTTTGCAGCTCATGGTACCTACAGCAACAGTGACAGGTGCCTGGCTGATGCCATCAGCCTTGGCAACCGTGCTGCATGGAGCAGTTTTTGCCCAGCAGCAGATAAGTCAGGCCAGCACAGCACCACCCAGCCGCTGGTTGGTCTTGAGCGGGTCCCCAGCTGACGCTGGCCCCTTCTGGTCTCACCTGGACTCCTGCCTCTGACTGGGCCTTATTTTCCAGGAGTGGGCCTTGACGAAGGAGAAGTCGGTGAAACACATGGACCTCTGCCTCACCGTGGTGGACCGGGCACCCGGCTCGCTCATCAAGCTGCAGGGCTGCCGAGAGAATGACAGCAGACAGGTAGGCCCTTGGGCACTGCGGTGCCATGCAGGTAGCAGCATGTGCTCGCAGGTGACTGCACCACACTGGTGACATTGGCCGCCTGCCGGAGCTCAGCAGAGCAGTGACGTGGCACAGAGCATTTTACCGAGAGACTACTTTGGTTTATTCGTTATTTTTTCCTGTTGAAATTTGCACCTATTCTGGATGGCTCACGTTCACACGGCGGGGACTGGATGCATGGCCCATGTCCAGCTGGGGATGAAACAGCCATGCCAAAGCCACACTCCAGTGTCACTGTGGATCTTTCCCCGGGCTGGCTAGCAGGGACTAGCAGGGCTCCTTGGGATGTGGCCACCAGGTCACTGCATGCTGCGCTCCCTGGGAGCTGGGCTTGTCTGACATGTTCCCTGGTAGAAGCTTAGAAGGCCTGAGGTACAGCTCCGGGATAATAGGAACGTGGCCCAGGGCACCTCCCAGGGTGCCGCGTGTAGAATGCCGCCTGTCCTCCTGTAGGTACAGGTGAGGTGTTGAGAGAGTGAGGCACAGAACCTATTGTGGCCAAGGCCAGGGGCTGGCGCCCCTCCCAGCATCACCTGGGAGGACTGAGGCCCACACAGGACTCAGCTGGATTCCCGGGGTTGGCAAGTACTTGCAAAGGGCCTCTCTCGGCTCCTTGACCCAGTCTGGGTGCTCTACCCTCCTGTCCTCTGCTGAACCCTGCCCATCTTGGCAGTGGGTCCCTCTCTGGGGCTCTGCTTGCTGCCTGATTTGCTGTTGGTGCAGTTTCAGGACCTGTGTGGACCCCCAGTAAGAAAGTGGCTATCAAACTTGGGAAGGGGCCACCAGCACGACCCAGCCACAGAATTCAACCAGGCTGCCAGAGGGGATGGCCCCCGATCAGGCCAAAGTGGCATTTCCTTTAGGAACTGGCAGGCAGGGTGTTTTTTATATAAAGCTGTGGTAAAGTGATGTTCTTGGCTAGTCCTCAAAGCCTTTTTAAAACAAAGGGCTGCTATAATCTCTCGATTGAAGTTGCTAGTTGTTCTCTCCAGTCCTGTTCTCAGGCCGTAACTGATGTCCTCAAAGGCTCTGTGGTCTCCAGAGGGCACTTAGTGAGTGGGATCTGCAAGGTTATAGCTGAACCCAGATTTGGGAGAGGGTGCCCACACCACCGTGGTCATCAGAAGGGCAGAGACCACTGGCCGACCAGCACCCCTCCTAGGGCAAGATTGTTGTCTTCCCCTTGCTTGAGGTACAGCTGTCCTGCTGCAGCCAGTGCCGGATGACCAGGCACCTCCCACATTCCTGTTTTGTGAGCCTTGAAGAAGGAGATGGCACTGGGGAAGTCGGAACACCCGATTCTGGGGGACCATAGAAGCACCTCCAGGAGGTCCCTGGTGCACTGCATGACGGGCAGAAGCGCCTCCAGGGGTCCCTGGAGCACTACTTGAGGGGCAGAGGTACCTCAGGGTCCCTGGTGAACTGAATGAGGAAGAAAGCTTCCCCTGGTGTCCCTGGTGCACTGCATGGGGGCCAGAGGTGCCTCAGGGGTCCCTGGTGAACTGAGTGAGGGGATAGAGGTGCCCCAGAGCTCTCTGGTGCACTGCGTGGGGGGGCAGAGGTGCCCCAGGGGTCTCTGGTACACTGAGTGAGGGGATAGAGGTGCCCCAGAGCTCCCTGGTGCACTATGTGGGGGAGAGGCACCCCCAGGGGTCCCTGGTGCACTGCATGAGAGGCAGAGGTGCCCCCCAGGGGTCCCTGGTGACTGAGTGAGGGACAGAGGTGCCCCCAGGGGTCTCTGGTACACTGCATGGGGGGGGCAGAGGCACCCCCAGGGGTCCCTGGTGACTGAGTGAGGGACAGAGGTGCCCCCAGGGGTCTCTGGTACACTGCCTGGGGGGCAGAGGCACCCCCAGGGGTCCCTGGTGCACTGAGTGAGGGACAGAGGTGCCCCCAGGGGTCTCTGGTGCACTGCGTGGGGGGCATCAGGGCTCAGCCTCTGCTAATGGGGAGAAATGTTGGGGAGTAGAGTCAGAACTGCAGAGATTTTTAAACGGGGCTGTTTCTGGCACTGGCTCAGCAGCAGGCCAGGCTGATCCTCAGATGCCCTGCAGACTCTCATAGACCCTGCCTTCTGCTGTGGGTTGCAGGCCACCTGGCTGTAGTGTGGGGGCCTGTTGTGAGCCCGAGTACCCTGGTGGCTCCCTGTGCCCTGGGGCAAGCCTGGAGCTCCACAGAGGGCAAAAAGGCGCAAGGTGGGATGGCTACCTGTACCCGTGTCCTTCCTCACCAGGTCTCCTGACTGCTGGTTGGCCTGAGTAGGTCTTTAGCAGGGGCTCCACAGCTAGGTGCCTGTGGCCTCACTGGACACTGGCCAATCCCTGTGTTCAAGTGTTGTTTTGATGCTGGGGCCTCAGGAAGGCAAGGGGAAGATGGGCCACTGGTCAAGCTGTGGGTTTCAGCAGGGCGGAGGTGTATTGCCTGCCACCCTCACCAGCACAGGCACCTCTGGTCCTTGAGGCCAGGGAGGGAGCCCGTTTGCCCACGGGGGTTACCCTTGAGGGTTGCCACTGGAAGACCTCTGGGCTGCTGTGCTCACGCCTTCTCATGCTCTTCTCTTGCAGAAGTGGGAGCAGATCGAGGGCAATTCCAAGCTACGGCACGTAGGCAGCAATCTGTGCCTGGACAGCCGCACAGCCAAGAACGGGGGCCTGAGCGTGGAGGTGTGCGGCCCGGCCCTCTCGCAGCAGTGGAAGTTCTCGCTCAACCTGCAGCCGTAGGGCCAGCGCTGCCATCCTGCCTCCTGCACCACCGGCCAAGTTTGGTGATCACATTATTGATTATGTTTCTTAAACTTTCCACGAAACTATATACCTCAGTATTCCATCATGGTCTGAAAGTCGGAGGACCCAGCAAGGTGTGGGCCGTGCCCACGTGGCAGCAGGAAAGGAGAGCTGTGTCCCCCGGGGCCAGCCGCCCACTCCCGCCCAACGTGCTCCCCACTTGCTGGGCAGCTGAGGAAAACAGCTGAGGCTGAGGACAGGAGGAGCAGTTGATTGGTGTGCTCTCTGAGGACAGGAAGGGAGGGTGCAATGCGCGGGGAGGACTCTGCGTTGGCACCTGTCCCACCGGCCGCATGGTGTCCGCAGAGCCGACTCCAGCGGCAGGCTTTGTGGCCGTGCCCACCCCGCCTCCCTTCTTCACTGACGTGCTTGCTGTATCTGAACATGAACTTTCCGTGGTGGGACACTAAATATAACATACATGAGAAAGAGTGTGCGGCCGGCTCCCTGTAGTCTCCCTGGGTCGTCATCTGGTCACCCACAGGAGGGCCGACGCTCCTGGAAGGAGCAGGTGGCCGCCTTTGTCCCCTGGAACTTCATCAGCTCATAGGTGCTCTGGTGGCCCACGGAGCTCCCAGTTCCTATCCTAGGGCCCCTCGGGTGGCCTCCAGTTGGGGACTCAGCGTGTTGGGAACCTGCTTTTCATCTGTCGGTGTCTGTGAATCTGGACAGGTTACTTATTTTGGCAAGTATGCTTTGGGTTTTTTTAATTAAATTTTTTTTTTCTTTAAGGGGAAAAACAGCCCAATTCCGTGTCTCCCAGTGTGAGCCAGCAGTATCCCCTCCACATGGCAGGCAGGTCAGAGACGCTGGACAGCTCTGTGCACCAGCTCTGGGTTCCTACTGACTCGAGGCCTCAGGGCTTCCTGAGCTGCACCCTCAGCCTGCAGATGAACCTGGAGCCCTGGTGTGCCCGCTGCACCCAGTGCCCCACACGTTCCCCGCAGCATGGCTGCCTCGGGCCCTTGGGTGGGGTTGGGTGGACTCAAAACCAAGCCACGCTACACACTTGGGAGGCTTGGGTAAGTGGCAGGGGCTTGTGTCCTGTGCGGTCTCCAAGGCTGGTGCCATAGTGGGGAGGGGAGAACACCGGGCCTCTGCCTCTCACTCAGAAACACTGCCTGGAGCCCCGCTGCCTCCTGTGCCCCAGTTTTGACAGCCCGTCCCCTGTGGGTATGGCCACTGCCTGTCTCCCCTGCCCTCCCACACGGGTACCTTGGCTCCTTTTGCCTCATGTGCACATATCAGGCCCCTCTGGGGCCCGTGGAGGCCGAGAGCTGAGGTGCTAAAGGCTGCCAGTGCACACCCGAGCTGTAGGAAAGGAAGCCCTGCTGGGCGCCGCCTCAGGAGCCTGCAGTGTGCACGGTGCCCAGGCTTCATGAGGGCTGGGCCAAGTGGCTGCTGCGTCTCCTTCCCTCCAGGTAGATGGTGTCCATGTGCCAGGTGACTCTGCACCTCTCAATCCTTTGGTGTAGGGCTGAGGGGAGCCGTTCCTAGGCGCAGATGTGAGGCTGCTGAGCAGAACCCTAGCAGAGTCCAGGACCCAGCCTGCCCGGCACCGCCTTCCTCACCAGGTTCTGCTCTCACCCTGTTGCTGCAGCCCCTTTGGTCAGAGGACAGGCCATGGATGTGGGATAGATTGGGTTTGTCAGAGATGCCTGCACCCACGCCATGCTGATCACCTGTGCACCATGCTGCCTGGCCCATCTGGGCCACTAGGAGCAGAGGCGGCTGAGCCGGCCCTCCAGAGGAGCCGTGTTTACATGACGCAGTGTGCCAAAGTGACTTCCT